CGTGAAATTTTTAACTGTTTTTCAATGTTAGAACTATTTTTGCATAGACTAAAGTACAAGGAAGTGTAAATCATTAACAGGCAATCGTTCGATGGGCTGAATTGCACAAAACGCATGATCGCACCGGCTAGTCCGGTGCGCGTTGCCATTTATTATGACTGGTACAAGTACGGGTAAAAATGCTCCATTTACTGAGTGGAAAATGAGAACGGATGACAATTCAAGCGACCCGGGGATAATGAAGGTTGAGGCTTGATTCCCCTGCTTTTTTTCCTCCTCCTTCCCCTTCTTCCAATCAGCTAACTTCATATTGTTTGTAGGAAGCGTGGAAGATAACTTACTGTTAAACATCTCAGATGTCTGAGTAGGAGATTTTCCTGAGATTTTTTACATCTTTTTTGTGTCTGTGTTATAACTGATCGCGCATTTCTTTTTTTTAACATGCGCCCGAACGAGACCCCAGGCACTCCTGAGCAACTGAATTTAAGGTCTTTTAGCCGTGCGTGATTAGGGAACATTTTGCAAAGTTTCAACTTTCTAGCTTTTCTTGTACTCAAGCCAGCAGTTTTCCCGCCAAAAATTTCACGCGGCTGCACGCGGAGGCCTGGGCTAGCACTTGGCCGGGGGGCACTCATCGGCAAAAGCTCAGTTTCAAAGCTTGCTTGGTTGGCGAGTTGAATAACCGGACAGACGAACACGCACAAACATACACACACACACATACACATACACACACACACACACACACACAATGACGGGGTGCGTGCTGCAGCGCTCTAGCGCTGCACAGCAAAAACGCACTGTTGCAGTTCCGCTTGTCTGTTTGTAATAACAAATGAGTTGCAGAATAACGGAAGCTGTGGTGCAGCATTTTCGCGGACGCCATGCATGTACGACTTTGAAAATGTGACATCGACTTCCCCTCTTCATGCATAATGAAGACAAAAAGAACCACACAATTGTACGGAAGCTTAGCAACTTCAGCACAAGGACCCATTTGACTAGGAGCCGTACTAAGGATGTTCTGAAGACCCTTCGTTCATTGCAAAGTCGAGAACGGGTATTCGTCGAGTGTGCTGCGAACAAGCAAACAAATCAAATCTTGTATTACAGAAGTTAGTATAAAAACAAAAAGCAATTGGCAAAAAAAAAGTCATATAAAAAAAGCATATAAATAGAGGAAAAAATGAATTGTCGAAAAAATTTTCGAAAAACTTCATACATAGAGAGGAGCAACTTACAAATAGCATAAGAATCATAGGATAAACCCTTCAAAATAACAATATAGATAAACTAACAAAATTACAAAAGCAGTACTATTAGTACAGAAGAAATTAAGCAACACAACGAATACAACCTAACAACACAATGGAAAAAGATCCATAAAAATTTTACAGTCAAACCAATTACACAATTCTTAAACAGTAAAACAATACTTAATAAATCTCCGCTCGATTTCACTTCATGTCGAGCAGATCGCATGTCTGTCTTGCAGCCATTTCTGCTCGCATCCATCGAACTCCGAATTGTCCGCCGCCCCGTCTCCATTCCATGTCGAACAGATCGCATGTACGGGGCGGCTGCTCGTATCCAAAACCTTGTTCATCCACTTCATCGATCATCGGGCCTGCTCTGCTACAGCCCTGTAGAAAAACTCATAAGAGGAAAGCCAAACTACAATAAACACGAATTGTACCGCTCAAAAACGGGCACCTAAACCTCTTCGGGTTACTACTGTAACAAAGATATGACCAAACCAGTGCGTAACAGCGAATCTGGCATCACTCAGCCTGCCAAATTCCTGCCACAAGCAAATCCAGCATAACGAAAGGTTCAGAGCAGAATGCATGAAGTATACAGTTAGTGATGACAAGAGATAGCCACTATAGAGAAAATAAAAAC